CCGCCGCGCGCCGCGGCGCGCGCGGCGTCGCGCTGGCGCTCTAGCCCGAGCGCCGCGGCGGCCGCGGCGGCGGAGACGCCCATGAGCCGCTCCCAGCTGCGCGCCTGCTGCCACGTCTCCCGCAGCGTCAGCAGCGCGTCCACCTCCTCTGGCGGGCGCGACGCCATCGCTTTTGGGAGCGCGCGCCCGCTCGACTGCCACCAGGTCCTGTCGCGCCGCAGCCGCCAGCGGCGGACGGTCCTGAGGAGCCACGCGGCGCCGGCCGCGGCCGCTAGGGCCGCCGCGGAGGCCAAGGGGGGGCCCCAGAGCCAGGCCCACTGGATCTGGAGATGGCCATCTTGCTGCTCTTGCTGCTGCTCCTGCTGCTGCTCCTGCTGCTGCTCCTGCTGCTGCTTCTGCTGCTGCTTCTGCTGCTGCTCCTGCAGGTACGGGTAGCAATGATGCTGCTGCTCCAGCCCCGCAGCAGGCCCCCCTAAACCCTGCGCCACCCGCTGCTGCACTGGCTGCCAACCCAGCGCCATCGTCACCCCCCTGCTTTCGGGCAAAGGAAGACGCCAGGCAGATCCGGACGGGGCAGCGCAAAACCCCGAGCCGCCCGTCACGCCCGGCACGCCGCCGCCGCCGCCTGCAGGTGTGCCGGCGGCCCCCCGCGCCGCGTCAGCGGCGGGCGCGGCCGTGGGGCACGTCGCATGCCCAAAGTTCGGGGAGCCTCGGCCATATGAGTCAGCTGCCCTGGGGCAGCTTGGAGGCTGATGATGAACGCTCTGAAACAGCACAGCCCCGCCCTGCTGCTGGCCCCGCTGGCCCTGCTGACCCTCGCGCCCCTCCAGCTCCTGCCGCTCTTCCTGCTGCTGACAGTGCCGGCGCTCTTCCCCGCCCGCCTCATCGCCCCGCTCTTGCCGCCGCTCCGCCTCCTGCTGCGGAATGTGATGAGCGTCCTGATCACATTCGTGGCTCCCTGCCTGCCCGCCCGCGTGCTGACAAGGACGACGCCAGTCCCCCCCATCCGAAGCGGGCTCGCAGCCTTGATCCTCAAGATGCTGCACGGCGGCGCCTGCGGCGCTCGCAACCGCGACATGCGCACCATGCCCTACGCCCACCGCGGTCTGCTGCCCCTGGACAGCACCCTGCGTATCCACGCGATCGCCCGCCTGAATGGCGTCGTGCTCGCCGCCAGACAGGGAGGCTGTGGCTCTGGTTGCCTCTTCAGATGCGGGCTCCGGCGCTGCGGCGCCCGTCACCCCGGACTGCTCCTGCTCCGCTGCAAGTGGCGGCGTGATGCGCGCGGCAGCGCCGCTCGCCGGTTCCGAGCCTGGACTCGCTGCGCCTGCCGCGCCACCGGCGGCAGCACTTGCCGCTTGTGTGTCATCGCCCCCTGTCGCGCCTCTTACATCAGCGTCCACATGTTTTTGAATGTGGACGGTGGCGCCTGCTGCTTCTGCTTGGCTCGGCCCATGTCCCGTGAGGCTATTGTCGCGCCCGTGTCTGCCGACATTGTGCGCTGCAGCCGACCCGCTCCCTGCGTCCTCAGGAGCGATGCTGGTTGGACGTGCCTGAGTGCCAGGGATGGGCACCGAGGGCGACTGCGACAACGCAACCAGCAGCGCTTGAAGCGCGCCGCTCGACAACCGATGCGGCGCAGCACCGCGCCAGGCTGATGATGGGTACTGTACATCTTTCTGAGCAGCGTGCGACCCATGGTCGATGTACACCTGCAGCACAGAAGCGTGCACTCATCAGAGTGTTGAACTGGCCACCCCGCGGGTCATGGCACCACCCTCTGGCAGAAGGACAGGCCGCGAAGTATATATGACATATTTAGACATGCTTTTTACACACCTGCGGTGTCTCCAAGAGCACCTTGTAGCCGAGGGCCAACACCACGGCTAGTACCACCAAAGAGCCCCCACCGGCCATACGCCGCTGTTTAAGTGGTGTTTGGCCACTGCCAATGCTGCTGCTGACACGCCATTGCCATACACACACAAAAACCGACTGATCGCCTGGGTACGTACGCGTGCAAATGGGCCAGGTGAGTCATGTGTTCAGTGTTTCAGCAGTCACGGTTACCTTACGAGGAGCGGCTTGGTACATTAGCGCGGCGCCACGCCCGCACGCTGTGCTGCCCATCCAGCTGCCGCGGGGTCGAGGCCTGGAGCCCGCGACGACGACCTCAGCAGTGCTGAGGAAGCACTTTTAATAGCCAGTAGAACGGCCTCATCCCAAGAAAGTAGGCTGTGGACTGTGGATTTGCTTAACATCACTGACGATGCACACGTGATCATTCTGAAGTCTTGTCCCTCGACTCAGCAGGGCCGCCCCAGCGTGCCTTGCGTGCCGCGTCCGGGCGTCCGTCAGTTCTGCAAAGTTTACTAGAGACGCATACAGGCAGAACCAGCAAAGCAGTGGGCAGGATGCAGATACCATCGGCGGAATTGTGCAACCCTGGTGTGAAGTGATGACAGTCACTCGAAGGCCAAGCCCCTGCCTGGGGCCACTGGATGGCCAAGCCCCTGCCTTGTATCTGATGCATGGCCTGAATCCTATGGTTTGATTATGTGAATCTCACTCCATGTGGGGCGCATGCGTTGGCTTGACCAAGTGGGCACGCGCCCGTTCGGACCCCCGGCGGAGAAAGCGTACCCGAGAACGCTCATGCTACAAAGCGGCCGCGGGGCACTCAACGCCGCGTCTGCCCGCGACGACCCCTCGAGGCGCCCCCACTTCTGTCAGCGCGCTGCCTTGGTAGCCATGGTTGGCCAGCCATGTCCGCTTGCTGTTGCTGTGCATTGCTTTTGCGAAGCACAGCACGAGGTGGAAACGCCACGCAGGGGACCCAACGAAGTAACAGCCACCGGGCGGTTTGTCAAGGCGGCCCATGTGCATGCGCGGCGCATAAGCCCCTGCTCACAGGCACATGCACAGCACGCATCTGCCCCAAGCGCGGCCCGTGCTCTGAACGGCACGGCCCCCGCCACCGCCGGGCCCCGCTGCACCACCCACGCCCGCCAGTCCGCTGCCCGCCCCTGCACGCCGCCAACCCAGCGCCCGCCGTTCGGCCGGGCGCGCGCCCTGGCGGCCCGCCCGCCGCCGCCCGCCGGCCCCCGCAAGGCTCTCACACACTACAGGGAAGGGACCTGCAATTTTACTCGGTACTCAGTACTCAGAAGTCGAATACTCAGTACTCGAGCTCGCAGCGGCGCGCCGCCAGGAACGCGTCGAGGGCCTTGAAGACGTCCAGCACCGCCGCGCGGTCGAGGAAGCGCCCCTCACGCTGCAGCGGCACCAGGCGCACGTTCCAGGAGCGCACCTGCGGCCGGGGGGGGGCGCGGGCGCGTGCACGGGCCGCAGATGCGTGCAAGAACGGGGCCGGGCCGCGGCCCGTCGCCGCGCCGCATGCCCGGCGCGTCACGCTGCCCATGAATAGCTCGAGCCCCCGCCACGGAGGCAGGGGCGGAGCGGGGCGCTGCGTCACTGAAAGGCGACGCTGCCGTTGCTGAGGGCCGCGGCGCCGCCGCTCTTGAGCCCTCTCTAGACACTTGTGCACGCTCATAACCCTGAACCCTGGACATCTGGTGCACCAGATCCCCGGACCGCTGCTTGCGCAATGCAGCGGCCGCGCACCGTGTCTGGGGGGCGCTCGTCCGCATAGTGCGGGTATATTCCCAGGACCTGGGGAACAGGGGATGATGCATGACATGGGGCGCGTGAGTGGGGGCGGAGCGGCTGTGAGTGGGGGGATGGATGGAGCGATCGACGCAACGCAGGAATGAGGGGAATGCCATGGGGCAACACGGCATTTCGCTCGCCCACAGATCCCAAAAGAGCCCAGCCCAGGGGATCATGTTGAGCGCGCTACACACTGTTTGGATTGCCTGGTGTGACGGCGCGCTGCTCCCACGCCAGTCGCGTCCCGGCCCACTACTGATGATCGGAGCCGCCGCACCCTTCCCCCCTCCCCCAAAAACATCAACAGCTATAGCGGCCATCACCCCGGCCCCCTCACGTTGTGGAACGTGTCCACCAGGTTGCCCGTGTCCGCCCCCTTGAAGGGGAAGTCCTTGAACTGCCACGCCTTGCCCTGGAGGGGTCGGGGAAAGGAACGCGCGCGTCGCGCACGCGCGCGTTTGGGTTGTGACGCGCGCTAGCCAGGCACAGGCTGTTGTCAGACCGCTTGCAGCTGTGAGAATGTTCTTGGTTTCAAGGTTCCAGTGCCATGGCACCCCGCCAACCTCGTCTACCACCACCCCAAAAGTGTGCAGAAGCTGGTTCAAGCCCAGCTCTACTGCATTCAAACACGACATGCGCATGCGCGTCCGGCCCTGTCATCACACGGATGATGACGTGTATTCTGCCTCAGACACGAGTAGAGAGAGCCCCTGTTTGCGACTCCCTCCCCCTTACGACATACACACATATTCTCTCGGCCTCTCTGCCGCTAACACGCACACACACACAAACAAACACACACTCAAACACACACCATACATGCGAGCGCACATACACACACAATCGCAAACACATGTGTGTGCGTATGCGAGCACCTGCACAATCACCGCCACCACGCGCCGCCAGTCAGACGAGCCCTTGGCTGGCGCCTTGTCGGTGATGACGTAGGGCGTGGGCTTGTCGCGCAGCATGGTGCGCTTGATGGTGAGGGAGGCCGGTTTGGCGGGGTTGGCCTCCATTGCTTCTTGGCTGCAAGTTAGTAAGGTGGGCAAGAATGCGCGGAGGTGTGCATGCGTGTGTGTGTGTGAGAGAGAGGGAGGGAGAATGTGTGTTGAATTGTGCGTGTGTACGAGTGTGTTTTTGTGTAAGAGTGAAAAGGGATGCTGCGAAGCGCGACAGCGTCGCCAACGCCGCGTGAACGACGCGGTGAGGGTGGCCTGCCAGCGCCTAGGCCGTGCATTTGGGTGCGCCCATCCGCCCTGTTCCATGCACATGCGACGCGCCTGCGGACAAACTGGCACTCCTCCAAAAACTGCTTCGCATTGTACATGTTGATCATGGCCGACAGCCCCGCTGGCACTAATATGATAGGCACCCCGCCCCGCTTCTTCCCAGCCTGCCCGCCGCCGCCGCTGCCCGCCGCCGCCGCTGCGGGCTTCCCGCCGCCCCTGGCCGCGGCCTGCGGGGCCGCCCTCTGCGGCTCCCGCTCGCGCCGGGGCTGCGCCGCGGGCGCGCGCTGCTGCTGCTGCTGCTGCGCGC